TAACTCGGACCCACGACCATCTCGGACCCACGACCATCTCGGACCCACGTCAACTCGGACCCACGCCATTTCGGACCCACTTCGAGTCAACTCGGACCCACTGAGTCAGCTCAGCTTGTTCATGTCAAACAAAAGTGTCAGATTACTCCAGCACGTCAGAAATTTTAAAAAATGGGAATCAGCTTACATTTAAACGTATAGTGTGGGCGGCCAAAAAGGCCAACTTTAACAATGACAAAAATAAGGATTCGTGTCCGTGTCCTTCCTCGATATACACATGTACATTGCACATGTAAGCTATTACAAGTACTAGTAGGCAAGATCACTCGTGTACGGTACGCGGTCCGGTCGCAGATCCTATAGTCTGGTTGCTCGATCAATGCTATATTGTTCAATGTGCAGTATTGACACCAGGTGCAAGATTCATCCCACATATTAATTTTTTGTGGCCGGACTCACGTCATTCTATGGATACGTTAAGCCCAAACACAGGCTTAACAAGCTATTTTCTTCAACTGTAGAAATAACTAGAGTTGTAAGAAATAGAGGATCTAACTGAGGAATAATGAGTGAGCTGAGACATCGCGAAGGGCAAGTAACACAGGGATCATTAAGTAGCGATCCTGAAAATAAAACGAAGCTGGTGAATGAACAAGCCAAGACAGACGTGACGACGGAAGTACATGTAAGAGCGGCAAATTTCCCATTCAAACAACTCGCCCCAACACTGCTTTAGCTCGCCCCCAAACTTGATTTCACTTTCTCACTTTTCGGTGGCGTATTGAACTTAACTCCTTTCCACCCGCATGGCCTCTTTGTTTTCTTCGTACTGTTGAAAATTAAGGACAGTTGTCAGACTTGTTGGCTTATCCTTGAAAACCTTCGGGAAAGAGTTCCATGAACATACATACATGTATGTACATTTAGGCCGAGCCTAAAAGCCTAGTAGTAGTAGTAGAAGTACTATTAGGGCCTACTGCTAGTGGTATGCTACCTTCCTACGTGTATCCTGGGCCTACGATTGTTCGAACAATTTGACTCAAAAGTGTTAAGGCCCCGTTTAGAAATTTATGAGACCTGCCGTAAAAAAGAGTGTTTTTTAAGTAAATGCTTTAGAATATACTTAGCTAAATTTCACTTTAGGAGATGTTTTCACTTTCTGACAGCTGTTATAGGGCCTATAACAATTTAAGGGAAAATCTGTGTTTTCTGTATGGAACTCTCTCCAGCTTCGTTCTGAAATGACTTTTGCAATATTGTGTAAAATATGGAAGAGTAGTTTGAAGGAATCTGTGACTTTTCTACCTGATTCACCCTGTTTTTATTCCTGTGGTGCATTTTGTAGGGCATTGTCAAAATCCTCATTTTGAGCATTTTTGACCGCAGTCATCCATTCATCATATTTTCCCTTGAACTTGTTAAAAGTAATCAAAACCTTTCCCTCACAAATTGACCTAGCTCGTAATAATATTCAACATGATGTCATCACCATGTAGGTGAAGCCAAGTGTGGATATTAGAAAAATATCCTAGCCTGCACAATCTCCAGAAATGAAATTTATGATACATGTGTAGTGTCCCTAGAACAAGGTCTATAAATTTTCCCATAAAGTGTTATACATGTAACAGCCATTACAAAATTATAACATGTCCTAAAAAGTAAAATTTCACTGGGAAAATTCCCAAACATTTACAAACGTAACAAGAAAACACTTAGGTTTTTTTCAGGCAAGTCTCATAGACCTACAGGTTTGTGCACAGAGGCATCAAATGTTTTCCGTATTATTCCATGTCTCCACCATGCCAACTATCATGCTGCAGTTGGTCTGGCCCAACCATTGTTGCAAATTTCTATCCAGAATTTCTCAAGCTGTTCCAACTTAATGCAGCTCACACCTCGGATATAATTCATCACAAACATGGCACTTTATAATTATAAACCCATCCCCGCAAGTATGAGTCTTTGATGTAAATAAAATAATTTTGGGACATGTGTGAATGGCACTCATAGGACTGATGTTGATGCAATATTGCTTGTGATAAAATATGGTGATTATGAATCTGGATGCATACACAGACCCTGTATCATGCTTGTAAGTTATTATGTTACATTAAAAGACAGATTTCTTTTATGTTTTAACATGCTTAAAATACATGCAGCAGTAAACTCCTGCAAAACCTTACAGCTGAGGTAATTTGAGAGTCCACACCACCTGTGTGATAAAGAGTTATATTGCAAAGTGCTGAGGGACAGAATGGTTTGGGGTTGTTTGCCTCGTTTGGGGCTGTTTGCCTTGTTTGGGGCTGTTTGCCTTTTAGCAATAGTATTTAGATTCACTATTTTAGATCTTGTCATATTGTCTAGAAAAGTGTGTTTTTTTGTTTGGTCTGATGTGATGATGAGGAATATAATAATAATAATGGAGCGTGGACTGAAGTATTCACTATATGATGGATGACATTCCAAGTGCTAGCTCGTAGGAGTTAATAGCATAAAAGACTATGATAAGAAGGGTTTGGAAAGGCAAGGTACATGTACGTGTATGCTCCTCAGAGGAGTCTAATGGACTTATCTTTTGTTTTCTTTTTGTATACGTGTATATAGGAGGGTTTGTAGTGTTTTTAAATACTATAAACAGTGTTTAGAAGTAGCATGTTTAATTCCAAGAACTCACTTTGTACCTTACTTTTTGTTGTTGAAATAGTCACATTTGAAGGATGGTTGAACCAATGAAGGTGTCTTCAAATGAAGGTCATGATGAGGTTTACATTTTAAAAAATATAAGATTTGTTTTCATCTACCTAAAAGTAAATGAAACCCATTTTGCATTTCATTATGTGCGCCATACAACGGAGTGAGCTGAAAACCATCAAAAGCTCATAAAAAATCTTTGTTACATACATCTTATTTACATATATCTTACTCTTATTTTGCTCTGAGATTGAATGTTATTGGGTCTAAAAGTATGATAATCAATGAGACTAACCACTTAGATTATATCATTGCAGGGAAAATTCAGTCATGTATAATTTGTTCGCAATTAGCATGTGGTGAGTGGTCATTTTCACTCATACGGGGTCTTATTTTTCCGTCAGTGATTGCATTGTTGTACTGCAGGTATCTACATGATTACCTGTGCAGATTTCATCTCATTAGTACATCATGAAAATCAAGTGTACATTAACACGTAGGCATGGTAACCCATGACAACCAAATATATTTCTGTTTCTAATTATAGATCATGTGATTAGTCTTGCAACCAGCACAGACAGCTGGTTGAGTGTTGTGTATATATTTGGGCATTCCACATGCCAGACATGTCAGTGCAAACTGCATTGGTGCTGAGTACCAGTGGCAGTGTAAATAAATTATGAAAATTGGAATGGAAAGGCAGGGTTGTGTCATACATGTTGGAATCTCCTACTTTATGATGATGTTTATAAGACCATAGGACACATTCTCGGTGCCTGGCATGCACATGTGCATTATGCAAAGTGTATGGTACAGCCATCACATTTATCATGTGAGGACTATTATGTAATATTTACCCAAAAGAATTCCTGCTGTATATATTTTCAGCATCAGACATGTGACTTTCATGCTGTATCTTGTCTTGTTTACATCACACACACATGTGACTATTTCTCTATCTGGGGCCCTCATAGATTACATTGTACATTGCACTTACGCCTTGATCCCTCTAGAGCAGATTACATCATGAATGAGTTGGTTAGAAAGAACTCATCTTTAAAATTAAGAAATGCAGTTTTTATAGCAAACACAAAAGCCATTTATCCTGTTGTGCAAGTTAATGTTTAAACTCTGACTGACCTTGAGAATCCATCATGATAATTAGTGACAAATTATTAAATATATTAGGCATTTTTCTAAATTTGTAAACCCTGTTTACCAGAGAATGTCTGGGAAAAAATGTGTGGTGTACCTACATGTATGTACAGTACATCCCACTCCCATCCTCTCCTCACGTGGACTTAAACCTTTGGTCTTGTTCTCTGATATAACCTTCATTTCAGAAGCCAGCCTCTGGCTGCACACCTCCAGATGGAATACAAGAAACTTTGCCACAAATAGCTGATCCGCCAATCCCTCCTCAGAAGGACACTGTACCCTCCATCTTGAAAGGTTTTTCACCGAGGTAATTTTAGAAGCTGGAGTTACATGTATTTCAGGTTCCAAGATTAATTTTGTATTTGCTCCACCACAGCCTTTATTGGAGTTGGTTTTGTGCACCAGTTGTGGGAAATCATTTCTTAATGATTTATTCATCAGTTCTTTGCTTGGCACTCTTCTTCAGATGGCAGAATTGGTTCATTCGAGGAGGTTTCTCCATCATTATGGTAGCAGGCTTTGCTTTCATCATACATTATGGACCCGTAGCAATTACTGGCCTTGTAAGTCTTTCATTCTCATGTTTCACTGCTTTCTAGAAGTTGGGTTTTTAATCTAATTCCTCAGACTTATGCCTGCCCCTACCCAGCAGCTCTTGGTGGAATATTTTTATCACTGATGATTTTCCACCAGAAATGCAGGTGTCAGTTAATTGAGCTACATGTACATGTAGTTCGTTAAATTTCAAGAAGGCAAGGTATTTTGGGAACAAAGGGCTTGCAGGAGTCTGCATATAGCTGCACTGGTAGGGCAGGCAATCGTGTGCACATGCTGCTGTTCCCAAATGACTTTGGATTCGCTTCAGTTTGGGCATGTCCTATTGGAATACTGAACCAGCTTGTTATCAGCAAATTACTGCCAACTCTACCCTCACAAGAACCAGTAGTTACATTATTTACATGTCCATGAATACAAGTAGCTACATGTATGTAGAGACAAAGTATCATGCCTAAGGATGTACACACCACAAACAGGTATGGAATGGACCCCACTAGGATATGGCACGTCATGATCATGACATCCACAGCTACAACATACTAAAAAATATACAGATATTTCTGGAACAATGTGATAAGTGTTCCATTTTCCTCATTGGTAGCCTACATGTACATACATGTACTGCCCTCTGGAATGCTGCGCATATTCAGTAATACAAGACATACATGTAATTAATTGGTTCTCTGCCCTAGGTCTTGCTTATTGAGATGATGTGTTTCCACGAGATAATCACCATTGGTCATGCTGTCTACCGGTCACAAGACCTTCCCTGGTTCCGCACACTTAGCTGGTACTTCTTGCTGTGTGCCAATTACTTTGTATATGGCCAGAGCATGAAGGACTACTTTGGCATCGTGCTTCACAGAGACCTGGTACAGTCTTCACAGTTACTTTGAATAAGAAGTTCTTAGAATTGAGATGCATGAATTCTTTGACTGAAAAAAAATTAATTTATTTTTCATCAAAACAGTTTGCATTTATGACAGTTACATATAATTGGAACTGATTATATCAAAAGCTCTTTCATGAGAGAGCTAAAAGCCACTCAAAATAAACGGCATAATTCTTTTTTTTCCCAGGAATTCTTGCAGCCGCTGATCGATTACTATCGTTTTATTGCTTTCTGGCTTTACATGTTTGGTATGTATACTACTGTATGTGTCGATATACAGCAACCCTATGTACATTATGTATACCGAAAGGAGAGTAGTTTTCTATTTTTCAATAGGGTATCCAAAAGATATATACACAAAATCAATGAAAATAGATAAAAGTTGCTTTCATTTTTAATTAATCGATACCCAGGGCCTTGACAATGTGTTTTCTTGTTCACACATTCAATAGTTTGTGCACGGACAGTATGTTAAGTACCATCAGGTTGTGCCATGGCACCATTGTTTTTCTGTCCATCAAAGTAATTTAAGTGCACCTGTCGCAGCTTTCTTGCGTTAATTTTGCATCTGATAGGAGTGGCAGATTGACATTATGTGCCTTTGTGCCCAGTGTAATCACCATAAATTGTTTCATGCTCCTGCTGTGAATGTATTGACTCTGGGTACAGGAACATGTGTAGTGCATTTACATGTATGTCAGCTTGCTTAATGCTTGTACAGTATATCAGAATTCTCATGGTCATATAAATCCATCTGTTATAAGTACTCTACAAATGTAATGTATTTATTTCTCTTCTGAACTTGTACAGGCTTCATGTTGTTTGTGCTGTCACTAAGAAAATCCCAATATCTGGTTCAGTTCACGCTGGTAAGTTTGTAACACAAATGCATTGATAATTCCAAGCTACAGTTTGCTCTTGGACAGACTATTGATCAACTATTCACACAGGGACTTCTCTTAATAATTGTTATTTGGTCTTGTTTTTTCCCATTACTTAGTTTGGTTGGACACACATAGCCCTCCTGATTGTTGTTACTCAATCCAACCTGATTGTTCAGAGTATGTTTGAAGGAATTATCTGGTTTCTTCTCTCAACGACATCTGTCATCTGCAATGACATCATGGCCTACTTGTTTGGTAAGACATAAGCAAGACATAATATAGCGCATTAAATGAAGTCACAAATTGCTTCTCTAATTCAGCATTGTCATTGGGTCAGTTGCTTCACGAATAAAATAGTTTGTCAAGTACAATAATTTTGGAAATTTCCATGCTACTACTGTGTCCTATGCAGGGAAAAATGTGCTAAAAATTCTATCTGTATTTTCTCATAGAAAGGAAAGATAAGACTGAGTGGGATGATTCATTTTTAATCACTAGCAACATCTTTAGTTTCCACTTCTTTGTTAGTATTGAAAATAATGGAAGCCAACTTAAAGTTGGAAGCAAATCCACAATCAGCTTGATTCTATCAGCAAACTATATTGAATATGACTCAAAGTACGCACTGTAGTGTTGACTTTTGGCATTATGTTCACGCAACAGTTCATTTTTTGTCTTCTCTTATAAAAGGCTTTTTCTTTGGCCGTACTTCACTGATAAAACTTTCACCCAAGAAAACCTGGGAGGGATTCATTGGTGCCTGTTTCTCCACTGTCATCTTCATCGTCATTGTGAGTCCTCAACATTTAACAGACGTTAAATTCCCAAAATGGTTGCACTTCCTTGAAGACATTATGAATTTTTGAATGTATCATCTACTGAAGGACAAGAACCATTGTGAATTACTTCATGTACATGTATGTGGAATAAATCAGCAACAGATTAAGAAATTCTTTCCTTTTTTCAGCTTGCCAACATCCTCAAACGCTACACCTTCTTTGTCTGCCCTCCTGAGGTATGTCTACTTGTTTATGATTGACATCAGAAAAAAAATGATTTGATTTCATCAGATTATATATTTAATTGTTTTTACCACATCAAAAGTGCTATGTTACTTTTCACATGTTTGTGTTTGTTGACAAATTATGACAAATTTATCCTTGTTGTTAATTCTTCTCATAGTTTGATGATGAGAAAGGCGAGTTTGTAATGGACTGTGAACCTTCTAGCACCTTCTACCCAAGAGAGTACAATGTACCAGTCTTCATGCAGAACTCACTGGCTTTGGTAAGTGGAGAAGACATTTCGTGTAAGTGAATCCAGATGAATGAATTGTCTGCTCTTTTTTATTCTCACTGTCTATAAAGTCAGTCATTACTCACATGTGTGTTTTTTTCATATGTGGAAGAAGACAATTGGCACCTTATCAGTAAGATGTTTTGAGCAATAGCTCATTGTTTATTTCTATCTGTTTGTAGGTTGGTATTGAATGGCAGACCTTCACAACCTTACCAGTGTACATTCACGCTGCTGTAATTGGCCTTTTTGCATCTTTGGTGAGCCCCTTTGGTGGATTCTTTGCTAGTGGCTTCAAGAGAGCATTCAAGATCAAGGTATGTTAACCAAAGCCACTGCCTGAATATAACAGTCAAGGCTTCTACACAAATCCTGGAGGGTGTCACATTTTTGTTTTTATGTACAATTATTTTGTAGGATTTTGGTGATGTGATTCCAGGCCATGGAGGAATCATGGATCGTTTTGACTGCCAATTCTTGATGGCCTCTTTCCTCTATGTTTATCTCCACACCTTCCTGAAGTAAGTCAAGATGTTGATATCATGAGTTGGTTTGATCGAATACTTTGGTTGGCAATACACATTGGCTGAGTTCGGGCAGCTTGTTCTTGTATGTTTACGAACAGTTCGATTTGTTGTTCATGGGTTGGCTGCTCAAACGCCAGGAACAAACACTGGTTATTGCTGCTGACAGTTAATGGCAAGTAATATGCAACATGGCAGCATCCATGTACATGTACGTAATTCAAGAGCTAATGTAGGGAACTAAGCTGATTTTTTTTCTATTTAACAGAGGCTTTCATTTCTGTGCAATGGAAAACAGTTATGTTAATTTTCCAAAACTTCCCATTGTCTCTGGCTTTGTAAGCCATCTCTTTCCTTTTTGCAGCTGTTCAAAACTCAAAATCTCTCAAGTTTTCCGTGTGTTCCTGTAAAACCCTGACGAGGAGGTGGTGTGGGATCCTGTTCCAAGAACAGTGTTCTTGAGTCATGTTCCCGCCATTCGAGAACGAGAACAAGAAACCTGTGTCAAGAATGGCTGCCTGAGCTCAAAAATTGTGTTCCATTTTAATCAGTTTCGTGCTCGTCAGTTACGGCATATCTAGTCTTGTTTACTGCCATTTTTTCAATGTGTCATGCTATTTATTTAGCTGAGACTAGCAAAATGAGCTTCCATGATTTCCATTAAGCTGTACTGAAGTCATTGCAATAGTACATGTATATCATTGAATGTGATACTTTATTCAAACTGACATCACAGTAACCTTGCCATAAAGTCAGCACACAAATGAGTACATTGTGCTGAGTTTGAATGTGTCTGCTCCAGGTCTGCCTACCCGCAGAAGCTGGTCCAGCAAATATTTCAACTGAGTGCAGAGGATCAACTGATGGTATACAAACAACTTACTGAACATCTGAATAAGACTGGTGTCTTGCCAATGTGAAGGAGCTCCTGGACAAGTTGAATCAGCAGTAAGTACAGGAAACAGACCTTGATACTTGATAAAAAGGCTGTGTCTGAACAGGCATTGTATATGGGGCTACAGATATTCATTGCATTGCAGTTTCAAAAACTGAAGCCGTAGCCACATTATTGCTGATTCAGACATAGCCTAAAATTTGTGGCTGTAGAATATATAAATAGGCTGTGCCATGGCTTGCTTGTAACCACTTTTTGGTCAAAGCAGCTTAGAAGCTCAAGGTTATTTCATAGCACCTGTTGAGACTGATTAGTTGTGTAGCAATTCAGTAACATTATCACTGCTACCAGATGAATGTCCTCATCCTGCCTCTCATCCAAGCAATTTACACTAAACAAACTTCGCAGATAAAGCCTTGTACATGTATATTTTGTGTTGGTGTATATTAACCATATGCTGCCGGGTTTAATTTGAAGTTGCATGATGTATAGCCAGGGGATTTTCAAGATGTTCTGTTTTCAGAATTCTTCAAAAATTCATTACTACATGTACTGGACGTTTACACCCACGGGAATGACTGTCTTGTGGCTACTCTAATCTGACAGACAATATCTATTGACACCCGAATATTTCAGCCAGGCCTGCCACCTTGTAAAGAGAGCCCAGATTGTGTGGTGTTACGTAATTTTCATTGTTCCCAAAATTGGCCCAGTGCGCTGCTGGCCTCTTTTTTGAATGTTTAGCGTGCAGCGGTATTGTATTGCTTATCCCTGGAGCACTTTTGTCCCCGGTGGTAATCCGCTCGCGCTGAATGCCACAAACAGTGGAATAATCATTCAAAACATCGATGGCTTCCCTCTGCTATTGACAACTGAAAAAAAGTTGGCAATTCCCAGCAGCTTGGTCTTTTGTTCTGAGTACGTGCTTTCGTTACAAGGCTAGTTCCTTTTGTCCAATTTTGGGCACCCCGGCTATGCATATAAAGCCAATGTCTCCGAAACCGAGCTCCCCGGCAGCCAAGTGGTTAACCATATGGTTTGCTCATGAGAAGAATATTCATCTCAGATAGAATCTACCACTTGTAGATGAATGGAATTAGCTTGGATATTGTGTAGGATGATGTGATTTATGCGTCCAACTGTGCAGACCAAGCAGCATTGTTTCATTGTTACATATTTTAATGTTTTTAGCCGCTTGGAATGCAGGTGGCTGTTGGTAAGAGGCAGTACATGTATATTTTGCGTAGATGACAGAAATGATGTTGATGTACATACAGTACAAAATTAATATTACAATACCACTGAGTGTGGTTGCTTGGGTATGAAGTATCTATGTATATCTAGAACCTGCAGTGTTAGACATCGAATGCAGACATCTAATTCTAAGAATCTAACAGATTTTGCATGTCATTGTAAAGAAATAAAGTCATAGAAAAAAATTGTTGTAATGTTTCAAACATCATGTAATATTGGCCAGAGTTTAACTTGTGTTAAAAAGGTATCTTGAGAATTAGATTAGATTGCCTGTGTTTATTCTGTGTGTAAATGGAGTAAATGAAGCCTGTTGGTATGTCATTAAGAAAAATTTAGGTCAGTGTATAAAAACTTGTATTTATTCACCTGTTCCAAGAGCAAGACTCACATGTACAAAGGGTTGAAATTTCTAGCCTGTGTTTATGTGCTGCATCAGACTAAAAGAGGGCACTCTTTTGCAAACTTATCAAGAGAATGATGCTAGATACCAGTCTTTAGCATAATACTTATGGCTTTTTGTGTAAAAAGATGATCTTGAACCAGCTTAGAAGAGAACCAACTTGCTACTTTGTTTGCTTGTAGTTTAAATTAATAAGGCATTTGCGAGTTAAATTTGAATAAAATCTGGTACACTGAGTTATCTGATTGCACACAAACATAACAACTTGACTTCCCCAGGCTAAATACACTGTTGCTGTACCTCGTGATTCAGGGCAAGCTTTTGCTGAGTGACCACCATCTCTGGACTGGTTCCTTTGTGCCCTTCTTTTCCATTGAGAACAGTGTATTGTTGCAAGGCGTCTCCTATGTAACTAAGGAAAATCTTGCCCCGAATCACGAGGTATAGCAACAGTGGCTTTGGTATGGAGAATGCCAATTGTTATGTTCACGTGAATTTAAAGAACTCAAGTGTACCAGATTTTATTCAAATTTAACTCGCAAAAGGCTTATTGCACGTACATATGACTGCAAAATTTCAGTGTACAGTATACATCTGAATGATTAACAAATCAGAACTTGACTTCATTGGTAATTTTAAGATCAATAAAGTTTTCTGGTGTTTTTTGGCAAGCAAGCATCGTGAATGTATTTTCTGTTCTAGCTATTCTAAGTGGCTAATGTAACTTACATTTAATATGTTTATTTTATGCCAGTAACATTTCAGGTATGTGATAGTCAGTAGTTTTAACAGTGATTTGTAATTTGGGTGAAAATGTTTTTAAAAATAATAGTCATGACATCCTTGATTTCTTCTAATGAATGGCTGTGGATCTCCTAACAGCAAGTAGTAATTAACAGAGAAACTCATTCCCATTCACACTGCATCCTAAAAGTGCAACTATTTATTTAAATGAAAGGAATAAATCTAAGTACTGGTAAAATAGTTCTAACCCCAAAGTAAAAGTTTTAGCTCTTGACATGTTCCGAGAGCAAACACTGAAACTCTATCTGGAACCCATCTTCACCGGCTGTTTAGTGCCAAAAATCAGTGGTTTTGACCTGAATACCTGAGGTAAAAAAAATCAATTACACCAAGATTTAGCTCTCTTAACCCTTAACCTCCTCAATCCTCCAAAATCCTTTGGGCAGTTTTGGAAGATTTTGAAGGATTGAGGATGAATGGCAAAAGTGCATGACATATTATGAAGGATGCCATGCATGTATGTCGTGGATTAGACTTTGTGTTGTTTTTGCTTAGTCAAACACAAATTCAGCCTGATAATTCTTTTGATTCAACCGCACAGCAGAAGAATGTCATTCGTACTGCCTCAACATAATGACAGGAATTGCCGGGGGATTATGAAGGATTGAGGCAGTAGGCACACTTCCAAAAACATTTTCAAGAAATTTTGGAGGATTTTGGAGGATTGAGGCTTAATGCTATTTTTTCATGTCAAAAATCTGAGGATTTTGGAAGATTGAGGATGGTTCCTAGTAAAAACGCCTAGGGTGTTAGGGCTAAAGAAGCATGAAGTTTATTGAAAACCTCATTTGATCCAGACTTTACCTCTCAGAAATTTGTGTAAGTAAAAGCTTAATCTAGAGAGTTGCACTATTTTAAGAGTATAAATTGCATGGTACCTTATTTTATTATTTTACAAGAATGTACACGTACCATCATTTTAATTACCTAACAGATATTATTGGATATATTCATGTTTCAGCCATTACACTCACATGATATCGGTGTTTTGTCAGTGCAATACATTCATTAGTATACTGTTGTGCTGTGTGTATTTGTAAAATTTTGTCAATGTGCACAGATCTTACAAATTGGTAATATAATTATGTTTATGGGCAATACATGTAGTTTGGTTTAACCAACATGTTGGAATTTAACATGCTTCCCTCATCGCAGTATGGTTAATCACCCCCCCCCACCCTGCAGCTCATTGGGGGTTTAGAAATCAGTTTTTGAAGTACCTTTTTGTAAAATTTTCATGTGGATAACTTGCATAGGTACATTCAGAGACAGATTTTTATACAAAAACAATGATTGTTAAATGAACTATGAAAGAAAAATTGCATTAAATTAGATAAGTAATTGACCCAGCACAGACCAGTTGAAATTAAAATAACTCAACAAGCCACTTGGTATCCCAGCTGGACTGCACATTCCCAAAATTATGTTCATTGGAGGTCTTTCGAGAGCGGAATTTATAAGCGCACAACTCATGCCCTGAAAGCTTGTGTGCTTTGGTCACAAATGGCCTCATCACAACTATGTCCTGGTAGAATGATGCCATTTCTTTTGTGTCAAGAGAAAATTCAACATTTTAGCTTGTGATAGACGCCCGTTTCAGTGATAACTTTACTAAGATTCTAGAAATTAAGATTGTTGGTGCTCAGTCTATCAAATGTCTACTCCATCGGGAATTGTGTTTTCGCATCTGAATTTGATAATTTAAATGACAGGTGTTAACTTGAGTCCAAAGGAAGGAGGAAAAACCTGTCATTACATGGTTAAGAGGATTTGGGTATGCAATTCCCATTGACAATGTTGTAAGCAATCCTCCAATGACATACAGAAAGTCAGTTTATGAAATTAATGTCATTCGTTTTTGCCTTGGGTCCAAAAACCTAAACTGCTTCAGTGGCAAGAGTCCTATGAGATTGACTTACTCTAGTCTTCTGTTTTGTACTCAGTTCTACTGTTACTACTAGAATGTTAATTTCTCATTAGATAATGATATAGCTTGGTGTTAATATTGGTGTATTTAGAATTAACTTTCAATTGGCAGTTAGTTGGGAGGAGAGAGTATTTGTCTGTAAAGAAATTTAAAGCAGTGTAAATTGTTGCAATAACTGAATCGATGATTTGTGTTCGAATGAATGTAAAAGCAAATTGCAATGTAACTGAATCAATGTTTCACCAGTGAACCTTGAATAAAGTTTCTGAAGTACATGTAAATTGCAGCTGTAATTTGTTATATTTTGGCCAACTGAGGGCGCTCTGTCATTTTGTGGCCTCATATCCTCATAAGGAGACGCAATTAATGACGTCTGTGGGAGGCTCATTTTTTACCCTCACTGAACGAAAGTAAACAAAAGATGCTAGAGATCGTAATGTGCCTAAAACCAGTCAGATTCTGATTTGGAATTAGGTTTCCCTATGTGAACTGGCAAATCCGACAACTGGAATTAAGAGCCATAATCATTGGACATCGCAGGTAGCGCTTCGATGGCTCGTCGCCCATGGCCCAGCGCCCGCGCCGAACGGGGCTCTGGGAGGAATTCTGTGAAGTTGCCAAACTACTGCGCTGGTGTTTTTTAAGAATTAATTAATGAACGAGGGAGTGTAGTGATGCCGCGGCAATGGCGCTCTCTCAGAGAAGAGTGTACAGAAACTGCAGCGGTACCCGCGGGAACATAAAAGAATGGATTCAGAAGTACACCATTATTTTGTACCTGACGTGCTTGAGCACTGGTACATGTGTTTACAGCAATGATTGCTGTACTTAACTGAACAAGAAATGTCAAAGTGAAACACGGTATACATGCGTATGAGTTTCATAACTGCCTTTTATTGGAGCATGATGACTTAATGTAAAATCTGCTTCTTTTTTTGTAAATAAATGTTGTTTAAATTACTTAACATTTTTACAGGTAACTACATTAAAAAAATCTATGGCGTTTTTTAGGGATGGGGTGAGTTCAGGGTCAGGTTTAGACCCACCCTCCCCGCAGTCAGACTTAAAACATTCACCACATACGATTAAAAATACTCATATATCGTAACGTTCCACTGGCAAGAAAACTCTGGACAAACTAGTATCAGTAGCTCGGGGGCCCTCCTGTCTTCTGAATTATCTGTGTATAGTGTGTCCTATATGGTCCTACTGCGTGCTATGTATTTCATGTTACCTGTGCAGAGTTAACTTCCAAGCTTAAAACCTTAACTGTAAAATATCAACACGGAAGTATCTTTAGTGCGTTTAGTGGTTACCCTTGATGAATAGCCTATTCTAGTCGTAGGTGGACATAATGTCGGCGTAAGATTTTTTTTTAAATACAGAATAGCCATCTTAAGACCAAAAGTGTTTTATTGTACACATAATTAATGTCCTTCAATGTAGCAATGCCAAATTTACAATATATTTTCTAAATAAAATTGAATTACAACAACAAAGAAATTAACGGCAATGTTGCAAGCCTGCAGTTTTACAATAATTGCATTGAACATGCGTTATTTGACGTTGAGTTCTTGAGACACACTGAAGGGAGCTGCAATAGCGATATTTTTTATATAGTGCTTTGAACTTCAAGCCCAGCAAAAAAGCATGGCATTACACAATTTCGTGTGATCACGATCGTCTCTACAAACCTTTTCTCTTATTTGTCAACTTCTCATAACTTAATCCCGTTATATATCAGCTACCTTTTCCCTGTTTCTGGCATCAGAGTGTTCCTTGTTCAGTCTTCTCAGAAACCTGATTTGCATGGGTAGAGCTTCTAGCTTGAGCTCCAAGACATCCTTCTGAAGGGCCAAGACTTCTTTCTCCAAAGCGCGAGTCTCCATCTCCACATCCATCGGATGGGATGGAAAAATCACAGGTGGTGCGTTGGTGGTCACATCTACATCAACGAAAGAGTGCATTTGAAAATGTTCAGTTCGTTTCTTTACCACTGCATAACTTACTGACGTTAACCGAAAAATTCAGTCAACCGTCTTTATCCGTACTGACACGAATGGTTAACGTTGGGAAATGCATCTTCAGTGAGTTGTGAGTTTAGGGGACCTTGTCTCCCTCCCATTGTTTTTACGTAGTGCCATTTTTTTTCCAGATAAACAATAACATTTTCGATGGAGTAATTTATACTTCACTACAATTACAATTATATGTTTTCTCCAACCCCAATTAATTAAGGAAGAGTTGTGGCTTTGTGTACCTACCTTCATTTGACTCTACTTCAGCGGGCATAAAGACACCAGGAACACAGCAGTCTATGTTTGATAGGAAATAGAAATTAAGAGATTCTTAAGTGGCAAATATGGATGCAAATAAAGCATAGATGTATTTTGGGCATAAAAATGTTTCGAGGTTTATAGATTTTGTTATACAATTTACCAGTACTGTTGCGTGGGTCGACTGAGTGACTGTCGAACAGTGTCATTACACACCCGATGCTTCATTTAGTAAGCCGCCAAAAGTTAATACACAACAGAAGAGTAAAAAAAATCTTACCATCGATTGATAAAGGTGCCTCGACCTTATTGAGAAGCCTTTCTGTAGAAATGTACTTGAAGACACCGGTTATCTGGCATGTTGTGTCTAAGAAGTCTTCACATCCTGTACTGCGGATTTCCATCGTGTCATCTTCTCTTTCCACGGCTGGAAAATCCTCACTCGGGGTCTGATTATTTCGCGGTACTTTTCGACCGTTGACCAACCATGTCAGCTCTCCCTTATAGCCGCATTTTTCTGTGCCCATCACAGAAATAATGCCCCCAACGGTTTCAGTCAATTCAACTTGAAGTTCTGGCTCTGGCAAGGGAAAGTTTGGGGGGAAATACACATCAAATGAAAAAGTACGTCTATGGATATACAGGTTCTAGACCCACCTCCGCTTACTTTCCATCGTCATTCAGGGAGATTTTTTGGCGCTCGGCTAATAAGTAAAAAGTTCATGTTTCGAATTGATTTGTTCTATGTAGAGTCACACTAGAGAACGATTCACTCCATTCTGATCTAATTCAATGTACTCAAACCATAGAGCGAGGAAACTTACTTGAGCAAACTCGCACCGTCGCGTTCATTCTTTTGTCTTTTTCGGAGACTATGCTTGACAGTGTGTTGTTTTCCAAGAGGGCCATACAGCCGTAACTCCCAGCCGTTCCCTCACTGGCTTCCATCGTAAAGACGGTTGTAAGTTTAGCATAGCCACTCATCATGTTATATGTGTAATTCGTCTCACAGGCTGTGGCTTGAGACAGGGTAACGAGTACCCGGTTTTCGCCACTTATTTTGTACAGTTCGTGGCGCACCTTTGAGCCGTGTGTCCTCACTCTCTTAGACGTGCATATCAGCCGAAAGCTATCACCTGCTGGTACGCTTTGACTCGGAGGCGACAGCACCGTCCCAGCTGACACTGTAAATAGGGGCAAAGTAATCGTTTCTTTTAATCAGCTTAACACCCAGTGGGTGTTGCAGTTTACATATCAGAAGAACCTTTTACTGCGACATATGTATATATATATATATAGTATTTTGATCAACAATTGAGGAAATGGTAAGGCTCTTAACAAAGATTATGAAGAAGGACAAATGAAGCGACCATAAACGAGGCGGTACATTTACTTGAATAAAAGACACGGCATCACAAGTTTGATGGGCATTTTGAAGATTTCGAGAAGTCATCAGAATATGTTTGAGGGGTGTTATACTCGAGCATAGAGGAACGACACAGAAGGAGTTTGAACTGCCCAGGCTGTAACATCTGGCCAATTGCCGCTTTCTGGCATGCCGGGTATGTCCATAGCCAAAGCGCAGCGAACACTGGCTACGCACCATCTGTTTCACAACCACGAAACCCTTTTATCCTATGATCGCCTTAAAATCTTTAAAACTTCCTGTACTGAGGTATAGGAAATTGAATATTCATGCTTTTGTTGGTGCTTCGTATGATCTCATGACAACATCAAATTTAATGCTTTCGTAGTTGCTTGCATTACGCTTTGTGCCCTAAATCTGTATGTGCAGTCATTGCCCTTAATGAGATCTTTCTTCTGGAGTTATTTTGGGAATAAATAGAAGCCCGGTTGTTTACAAGATTTAGTGTTTTGTTTGAATCATTTTTATTATGGTATTTGTACTAAAGCGTATTTTATGAGATTTCACGATCACTACCTGTGATGAAATAGCGCATTTTGTTCCTAATAAACTAAGCTTTCCAGTAGTAGTGAACATTTTGTTGGCCACTCATAGCCAAAATTACAAACTTTGCATGGATAATGGAACAGTGTATCAAAATTTAAAAGTTTATTTACGATGGCAAACGTAGGTCTAACTATTTCCTGGCCACATCGACAATTTGTATTAATTGCGAGCAAAAACTTTAAGTATTGCTAGGATATTACTGGCCCTGCTTGTCCGGCTAAGATGCGGGCAGTAATCAGACATTTTTGGAATGTTTTCTATTATTCGCCTGACTCTGCGGCGACCATCATTGAACACTTTGAAGTGCCTGAGTTGCAACTCCTTCTGTGTCCTTCCTCTATGACTCGAGAAGATATACACCCGCTCCTACAAATGTCTTAACATTAGTTGACTAAAATCAAATGGTTTGTAAACTTACCTGTTAGACCGAATGATCCAAAAGTGAGCAAGGCCCAGGTTAACAGGATTCGAAGATTGAACATGCTGTCCATAACGTCCGATCCTTACCGTCTGAAATTAACTCGACCCACGGGAGCTTGCTATATATGAGACAAATGCCCACTGCAAGTTGTTGAACCTCGCAAACAGAGAGGAGGGCGAATAGGCGGAGGACGGTTTGTTCTTAGGCTGGAATGGCACCGAGGATACCTTGTTATCCGTGGTCTAACTTCGCCTGGCGCGTCACCCCTTTATAGACAAAAAGTATGAGGAAATTCCCAGTCTACAGCTGGAATCTCAGGAAGTGATGCAACGTCAACAATGAAAGTGAGTTGAGTGTTGTCATACCTGGAGCTAGCTCAGTTATTGTACAGGTATCACTTTCCTTTTCCGCGCATTTTACAAAATAACAGTGGATTATCTAGTGGCTTAACACGAGCCTTATACTCGCCTGAAATTACGTTACTTCGTTTTTGGACGAATTCCAACTTAATGCTTTGTAAATTATTACTTTTTTATGCTCACTGTTTCGAAATGATGATCAAAATCTGTGTTGACGTCATTTACGTCGTCTTTCGATGTGTTGTAATGGCGGTAACACTAATAATTGCAAAGAATATTCAGTTTCTGTGGTCATCTCACCGCCTGGAAAACAGGTGTAAGGTTGCAACAGGAATTATCAGTTTAACCCCAGTCCCTAATTCTCGTATTAATTTGTATAGTTTTTCACACACCCCTGAGGTGCAGGAATAATCATTCAATAAAGTATACTATGATCATCATTTCAGCACGTCATGGGCGCTGGGTTTGGAACAGCGATGTATCCAGCTTTGGTGTGAGGGGGAGCAAAGTAAAAACAGAATGTGGCTTTGGGCTTATTCAACATTATGTTACTACTTGGTGTTCTTTGCATAGGGTATTGGTGCTAATATTTGATAAATAAATGTTTTTTCTTTCCTACTCATGTATTCTTAGTAAAAAAATCCGTCGGGGAGGGGGTAATGCCCCCCCTGGATATGCCACTGGTTTAGAAGATAAACTAAACTGTAAAAAGTGAAATGAACAAGTTTGTAATTTCTTTGAAGCAACATTCTTCTATTCCCAGAAGCTATATATATTTAATCAATCAATTCTCCAATCAGTTTTCTGGAGAATCGAACGGGAAACGTTGTTTTTGTATGATTGTTATAAGGCTAATATTTACGCATATTTTGTTCGGAATGCGATCTATAACTTTTGGCGTCATCAAGAATATTTAGGGTCTGTCACAATTCGACGAATTTATGTCCATTATATTTCTGCCAGCTTATCAGTTTTTGGGGTGGTTCCCCGTCAAAACTTGATATGCTGCAATTGAGTGAAATTCTTGAGGGGTTTTCCCCAAAAGTGAACCGGGCATCGTGAACTACACAGGATGGTTGAGAAGCAGAAAGCCCGGAAGTGCAGTCACATATATATAGCACTAGTGCGACCTTGGTCCGACTTATATTCCCCATGTAAAATGTTCATTACTGGGGCGCCATCTGGCTCTTCCAAGGGTTAACCGCTCTTACTATCTGTGGGTGTGGCCACTCAATACATCCCACGCAGGGATGGATCCAGCGGTGGAATAGGGGCCACAGCTCACCATCAATACCATATTTGAATAATATGAGAATGGTGATTTTGGGGGTGTATTTCTTTTCCCTTTTTTCTAAAGGCGTGCAAAAGCCCCATAATGCATTGTTTCTGTTTAACTTCCGTAGTGTAGTCTTGTCAGTTAAAACTGATATTCTAGAGGGCCCTGATAAAACTTGAAATAAATCAATACAAATGAACATAAAAAAATTTGACAAAAGCAGATTAAGTTAATAAGGGAGACAGATAAAAGAGAAACTGAATAGCTGTCGAACAACACAGGAATTCTTTATAAAATTAAATAAAATAGCAAAGATTAATCGAATTAACAGTTAGTGATTAAAATAATAAAATAAACATAAGCATATAAGAGTGAAAATAAAATGTATTTTGAACAAAACTAAAATGAATGATGATCAAAATTAACAGTGAACACATAATACACAATCAATGGAAAATGAAGTAAAAGTATAAGAAGCAAGAGAAATATTACAATGGATATGTTATAATAAAACTACAACTAAAATCAAATGGAATTAAACGAGGTTAGATAAACTTAATCTACAATGATTGAATTAAGATAAAAACATAATATAAAGGTTAAATAAAAGTCAACTTCGGGAGACTTTTTAATCTAAAGAGGGACTCCGCCTGTCTTTGAGAGGTAGTCATCTTGTTCAACCCCAAGGCCCCTAAATATTGGATTATGCGTTGGCCTGCATTAGTTTAGCCTCACCCCCATACATGGGTTACATACAAAATGCCAAACTTTTACCCCCTCCTCCTGAACCAGAGACATCAGAATTCCCAAGCCTTTGGGCCCAAGATACCCCGGACCTCTCTACCCTTTTGAGATAATTATACCTGACGTGGAAGAAACGGCGTGTTTGTTGTTGTTGTTGTTGCTGTTGTTGTTGTTGTTGTTGTTGCTGTTGTTGTTGTTTTCATTGTCAAGATTTCATTATTACGCATTCCATTTTGTATTGTCCACTGCAAATTTAATTTACAATAAATCACAGGAAGCAAATTGCAGCTTCGAATATTCCGAGTGCAGTTTTTTCCCGTCCTCGTCTGTATTTGCACAGAGGAGGCTTTGAGGTGAGAACATGTAGTAACTACAGCTTCAAGTGGGTATATATAGGCCTAGTCAGCTGTCCCTCCAGATCTTTAATTGCTTTTGCAGATGTGTTCCCATATTAACTCCGCACGGGCCTACTTCAAGGAACGTAAAGGGAATTTTCACATAAAATCATGCGGAAGTGGTAGGCGGCCGCTGGCCAGTACGGGGAAGTTCACCATCAGGCTCCAGGAAATATTCGGCCGTGGGTGGATGGGTGAAATTCACAGAGAACAGTATCTTCCTTGTAGTGTTTCAAAACTAGGCCCTTTGTGACCCTTTGTTTTGTCTCGATGAATAAGTGCTACTCTTGACACACTATTATTAGTCATTAGCAATTAAGTCATCCAAGTTTCTCGGGTTGTGTAAAAACTTACGTTCCTGAAAAGGAGAGGGAAGGCCAAGCGCCGACAAATGAAATGCGGCATTTTAGCGCAGACTCTGTCTTCAGTTTATTTGTCCATGTTTAGCGTAACCGTTGACTTTTGTTGAAAAAAGTTCAGCGAGCAAAGGCGTCTGTCGACTGGCAGGCAGTTTAACTACAGAAAGTACTGTCAAGATTATTGGCCTTCACGCACACTATAAAAAGTATTAGATTATCCACCGATACCACTATCAGATTGGTTTTTAACAGTGTAGGAAAACCATAGAGAAATACAAGACACAGTCTGTGTCTTTAGTTCTCCGTGAGAAAACTGACATGGATTTCGGTTTATCAAATTGCCCTTGGCGGTAGTTTTCGGAATCGCTCGAACATGATCGGACATAGTCGGTACATTTCGTGGCATACTCGGCAATGCGCGTGCGTAGTGGGCCGCTACCCGGCAGCTCCATGCATGCGGTACGAAGACTGCTGACTGTTGCGTCGCCTGTTTTGAAGGGAATTTGTAAGGTTCTTGTGACTTTATGGTGTAAAGCCTATTATAAGTGAGATTCATAAAGTAAAATGTTTGATTTCGTTGGGTATTTTTTTGATTTGTTAATAAACAAAGCGTTTAACATGTCACACGACCCGGCACATGCTGACAATAGCCTGTGCCACTTTGAGTCGTTGTCTTACTCTTAGTCCAGTTTCCGGACATCCATTCTCTTGATTTTTGCATGGTTTTGTTACACCCCAACAAGCGTCTGTCCCACACTTGTCCCAACTATAGTTGGAACATCCCTACTGTAGTGCTAATTCCTATAGGAGATTTCTCATGTTTCTCAACCTTATCTAAGTTTATAGACATGAATAGGCCTAAAATCGTACTACTAGTACTAC